CTTTCTCTCTCTCTTCTTCTTCTGGTACCCCTATAATGTGAATATTGTCCCTTTTGGATTAGTCACACAGTTCTCTCAATATTTTTTTTTCTTTCTTAGAGATCCTTTTTTCTCTCTGTGCCTCAGCTTCTTTGTATTCCACTTCTCTAGTTTCTATTTCATTTATTGTCTCCTCTACCGAATCCAACCTGCTTTTAATACCCTCCCTTGTGCTCTTCTACAATTGGATCTCTGACCAGAATTCATTCCTGAGTTCTTGGATATCTTCCCACACCTCCATTAGCATGTTGATGATTTTTATTTTGAACTCCCTTTCAGGAAGAGTCATAAGATCCATGTCATTTAAATCTTTCTCTGGAGTTATATTAATTTTACTCTGGACGAGGTTCCTTTGGTTTTTCATATTTGTATATGGCACCCTCTCATGTCCAGAAGCTCTACTCTCTGGAGTTGCCTAGCCCCTGAAGCAAAGGTCAGGGGCCACAGGGCAGTGGTATTTGTTCCTGGGGGGAGGAAAGAGCTGTTTCCTGCTTCCCAGCTGCTATGCCTGTCTCCAGTGCCTGAACCAGTGGGCCAAGCACACAGGTATAAGCTTTTGTCCCAGAGCAGCCAGATATGGATCCCTGCTTTCCACCAACAGCTGGAATCTTAGTCTCTCCAGGAATTCTGCTTGTATTAGCTTTTCAACCCTGTAATCACACAAGTATCATGAAAGCACCAGGAAATGTAGGTTTGTGCTCCCAGAGCAGATCTCCTGAGCTAGGTATTCAGCAGTCTCAGGCCTTACACTCCCTGTCTGATTCATTTCTCTTCCTCCCTCTGGTGAGCTGGGGTGGGGGAAGGGCTTGGGTCCCACCCAGCCACGGCTTTGGTACATTATCCTGTTCCGTGAGATCTGCTCTTTTCCCCAGGTGTATGCAGTCTGGCGCCTTCCTCTTTCCTGTTGCTCTCTCAGGATTAGTTGCACCAACTATATTTTTGAATTATAGTCAGTTTTAGGAGGAAGCCTCTGTCTCACCTCTCACACCATCTTTAATCTCTCAGTGATACTTTAATTTTAAAAATGGCTAAAAGGACAGACTTTGTTACATGTATTTTACTGAAATAAAAAAGTAAAAAAATACATGACATTTTTTAACATCAAGTTTTTTAAAACTTTCATTTCATTTAAATATTTACCAAATGCTTGATTTGTGCTTAGGGATGCACAACAGAGAGAAGAATCAGGACAGTGACTTAAATATAAAGAGAACTTACCACATGGCAAGTTCAGTAATTGGCATTTCACTTATCTCAAGATACTGTCATGCCAACAACGTAAGGAAGGCAGTATTGTTATCAGCATTTTATAGTTGGCGAGGCTGGGCTGACAAAATTTGTCCAAGCTAGTAAAGAATAGGACCAGAAGTTCTTGGTAAAGGTCACATAATTTTATTTGACATCATCATGCTTTTAGAATATGAAATGCCTATTTAATACAGTCTTAACTTCCTATTATATTTCTGGCTTAGAAAAGGAAAACATTAGAAGGATAGCATGTTCCAATCACAGCTTGTCTCTCCCCTTGCACTCCCTGGTGGGTGTACGCACTGAAACCTAACACTGCTTTTGCTTGGGTTTCTTTCACTTTCTTTCCAAATCTGTGTTGTCTTCCTCTTGCAGTTTTTTGCTAGAAGGCAGGGCCTATGAAAAAAGACCCCCAGTGAAACGTCAGAGCTAGCAAAAGACCGGAAGTTTACATAGAGCAAAACAATTTGCAAGAATTGGTTTTTATCCTTCCTGAAGTTGTTAGCTTCTGAGGTGCGGCCATCAGGATTCTACTGCACAAAGAGAAAGATATAAAAATACCTCTCTGACATGTGAATTTTCTTCTTTTCCTATCCCTTTGCCAGGAATGCCAGAAAAATGATCCCAGACTGATTGGAGACATTAAGTTTTCATTGTGCATCCCAGTGGTCGAGAAAGAAATGGGGGCAATAACAAGCTAAAGGTGGAGAAGAGAGGAATCCAAGGGGATATGAGAACTGTTAGTTTCACCCTGGACATTTCCTCAAAGCTAGTTTATTTGGAAAGCCTGTCTCTCTGCTACTTGCGAGACCTTGCCTGGGCTGGTAAGTTTCTTTCAATTCTTTTGTCCCCTGAGGACTGGCAAAGGGAGGTTCCTAGACTTTAAGGGACATGGATAAAAGTTGAAGTCTCTAAAGGAAAATCTGCAAGTGAAAAATCTAAGTAACACTTCTGCCTCTACCAAGGTTGGGCTGCTTTCCTTCCAACATCATACAGTATAACTGAGGTGAGTTTGTCTGTTTTTGTTTTTCCAAATGTACATACTGAATAGAGAATCTTGATTTTTTTTTTTTGGGTGTGTGCTTTAACAAATGTGTTACTTAAACCATTATTTCTCATACTTTTAATATGAGTTTGAATCACCTAGACATCTTGTTAAAAAGCAGCAGAATTCAGTGGTTATGGTGTGGGCCTGAGATTTTGCATTTCTAACAAGCTCCCAGGCAGTCTCAGCATTGCTGGTCTGTGACCCACACCTTGAGTAACAAGAGCTTAAACTTAAACCCTCTAGGTTTTTTGTTTTTCTGGAGATAGGGTTGGGTATCTGAATGAGCACATGGAATAAAGGTATCTGAATGAGCACATGAGTTATGTAGAGCACCTGAGAAAAAAATTAGACACCATCCTTGCTCTAGCTGTACTGGCTTTGATGGATGTCTAAGTTTTGAGGTTTCTGTTAAATAGGTCCTAGATGTGGTAAGCCAAATCATCCCAAGTAAGAGAGGATGTTGGACTGCTCCTTAGATTGCACAGACCACTTTGAGCAGAGCCAGAAATCTTTCTATAATTGTTTAATTTGGGAGATTAAGAGTCCATGTCACTTCTCAGTTGTTGTAGCTAATGGTCACTATGAACATTTCAGCTTCAATCAAAAAGTATGCATGCTAGAAAAATAACTGGTGTCTTTCTCCTATCATTTGGAGGTGATTATTGTAAGGCAGATGACCCTATTACATGGTTTAAAGTCAGTTCAAGTAAGGAATATAAAAAATGTTTTATCTTCTTGTGAGAGACCTTTAAACTGAGCAGCTCCCTATCCTAAATGATACATATTTACCTGAAAGTCACTTTTAATCCAAATGAAGGAAAAAAGCCAAGAGAATAAAAATGAGTAGACAGACAGTGTACCTATTCTGTGCCTAGTTGAGGGGAGAAAATAGCAATGGGAGAAAAAAGGGGAAAGAAAGGGGAGTGGTGGTCAGAGAATCACAGCTTCACAAAATTAGTAAGAGAACCCTTAGCCTAGAATAGAACTATTCGCCACACATGCATAGTGGTTCTTCTAGTGCGGTAGCTTCTGTCTTTCTCAGCTGGAGAAATGTCCTTGAGACAGAAGTTGTGTTGTTTTAAGGAACATGCTGGAACTATTATCTTTAAGTCAAGGACTATGCAATGGAATCAAAGGTCAGAGGGTTGAACAGGCCTGGTGAGATGCAGCATGAACCCATTAAACCATCTCGGAGAAAGAGGAATTGCTTCTGTTAGAAATAAGCTTCAAATAACATTCCTTTCTATTATGGGGTATAACTGGACATATTATTTAAAAATTTAACAACTATGTGGCACAAACATTGACCAATCAAACAAGAAGCTACTGTACACAGCCCACAGGACAGCAACCTGCTGGTGGGTAGTTAGAGCATATGGGGCTGAATATTGGCTTAAGCAATCACAGGTTTTAATTAAACTTTTTTTAGGGAGAGAAATTGCAAAGCTACAAACGAGTTCAGAGTCATGTAATCTGACCCAAGTCTCTTCCATGAGGCCACTTCTTTCTCTTCAAGCCCAAAGCAAACCCTCGTTCCAACTGTGTGTCTCCTGCCACCTACAGCGTACATGAAAGAGTTCTCTTGAGTCACTGCAAAACTCAAAATCCTATTTTCTGAGTAGAAGAGAAAGTGCATATATTCTTTCGTAAAGAGTTATTGCAGAGAATGAAACTTGATCACCACACTACCCTTCCATACCCAGCACTGTCACATGCATTATCCCACTTGATTGAGGCTCTAGTTAAGCAATTTGCACACAGCTGGGTAGTGGGTATGCTGGATTTAAACTCAGCCCTGTTTGTTCTAAGTTTAGGTTTATCCTGTGCTTTTTTTATCCTCTCAAGTAAGCTCTTAAGACCTATGGCAACCTGTATTGTTCTGTATTAGGGTTTGTTTTCTTTTCATCTCATCATTTGGTAGCTTTGTGCATTAAAAAGAATCCTGTTTCTACTTATTTTGTCAAAATTCTTCATATGCTTGTCTTAAGCTTTGCCTCCATTAAGGCCTTTCCTCTTCAGGAATAAATGTTTTACAACAGGGCTTCTCAAACTTTATCCTGCCCAAAGATCACCTGGGGAGCTTGCTCAAATTTAGTTTCCTGAGTCCCAAAGCCAGAGGTTCTGATTCAGTAGGTCAGAGCCCAACTCAGAATTTATATTGCTAATAAGCTCCCAGGCACTCTTAATGCTGCTGCCCAGAGACCACACTTTCAGCCCACAGGCAAAGCTTCACTCACTGTTAAAATAACATGTTTATGGTTTCATGTGCAGACTTAGTATGCTTAATAACACAGATTAAAGAGCCAGAATTTCTGGTTTTGAATATTGATGCCATCACACATGCAAACTGTGTGACCTGTGTGATCCTAATCTGTAAAATGGGGACAGTGCTACTTACTGTCTCCCTCATAAGGTAGTTGTGAGGGTAAAATGACTTAGTGCCAGGCACAGACTATTTCTGTACGTGTTTGCTCTTATTATTACGATGTCTTGCTCAATTCATAATTATACTTTATAATGGAAATTCCAACAACAAGAAATCACACAGCCATCAAATGATCTTTGATCATCTAGGGTTTAATCATGAGTCAAACGTGTTCTTACGAGCATGTGTGAGTAGATGTTGGGCTGTCAACTAGCACTTCCCACCAAGGGAAAAGAAAGCAGATGTTGCTGAGACCTATCTTCCCCTGAGGACTGGCAAAGGGAGGTTCCTAGACTTTAAGGGACATGGATAAAAGTTGAAGTCTCTAAAGGAAAATCTGCAAGTGAAAAATCTAAGTAACACTTCTGCCTCTACCAAGGTTGGGCTGCTTTCCTTCCAACATCATACAGTATAATTGAGGTGAGTTTGTCTGTTTTTGTTTTTCCAAATGTACATACTGAATAGAGAATCTTGATTTTTTTTTTTTGGGTGTGTGCTTTAACAAATGTGTTACTTAAACCATTATTTCTCATACTTTTAATATGAGTTTGAATCACCTAGACATCTTGTTAAAAAGCAGCAGAATTCAGTGGTTATGGTGTGGGCCTGAGATTTTGCATTTCTAACAAGCTCCCAGGCAGTCTCAGCATTGCTGGTCTGTGACCCACACCTTGAGTAACAAGAGCTTAAACTTAAACCCTCTAGGTTTTTTGTTTTTCTGGAGATAGGGTTGGGTATCTGAATGAGCACATGGAATAAAGGTATCTGAATGAGCACATGAGTTATGTAGAGCACCTGAGAAAAAAATTAGACACCATCCTTGCTCTAGCTGTACTGGCTTTGATGGATGTCTAAGTTTTGAGGTTTCTGTTAAATAGGTCCTAGATGTGGTAAGCCAAATCATCCCAAGTAAGAGAGGATGTTGGACTGCTCCTTAGATTGCACAGACCACTTTGAGCAGAGCCAGAAATCTTTCTATAATTGTTTAATTTGGGAGATTAAGAGTCCATGTCACTTCTCAGTTGTTGTAGCTAATGGTCACTATGAACATTTCAGCTTCAATCAAAAAGTATGCATGCTAGAAAAATAACTGGTGTCTTTCTCCTATCATTTGGAGGTGATTATTGTAAGGCAGATGACCCTATTACATGGTTTAAAGTCAGTTCAAGTAAGGAATATAAAAAATGTTTTATCTTCTTGTGAGAGACCTTTAAACTGAGCAGCTCCCTATCCTAAATGATACATATTTACCTGAAAGTCACTTTTAATCCAAATGAAGGAAAAAAGCCAAGAGAATAAAAATGAGTAGACAGACAGTGTACCTATTCTGTGCCTAGTTGAGGGGAGAAAATAGCAATGGGAGAAAAAAGGGGAAAGAAAGGGGAGTGGTGGTCAGAGAATCACAGCTTCACAAAATTAGTAAGAGAACCCTTAGCCTAGAATAGAACTATTCGCCACACATGCATAGTGGTTCTTCTAGTGCGGTAGCTTCTGTCTTTCTCAGCTGGAGAAATGTCCTTGAGACAGAAGTTGTGTTGTTTTAAGGAACATGCTGGAACTATTATCTTTAAGTCAAGGACTATGCAATGGAATCAAAGGTCAGAGGGTTGAACAGGCCTGGTGAGATGCAGCATGAACCCATTAAACCATCTCGGAGAAAGAGGAATTGCTTCTGTTAGAAATAAGCTTCAAATAACATTCCTTTCTATTATGGGGTATAACTGGACATATTATTTAAAAATTTAACAACTATGTGGCACAAACATTGACCAATCAAACAAGAAGCTACTGTACACAGCCCACAGGACAGCAACCTGCTGGTGGGTAGTTAGAGCATATGGGGCTGAATATTGGCTTAAGCAATCACAGGTTTTAATTAAACTTTTTTTAGGGAGAGAAATTGCAAAGCTACAAACGAGTTCAGAGTCATGTAATCTGACCCAAGTCTCTTCCATGAGGCCACTTCTTTCTCTTCAAGCCCAAAGCAAACCCTCGTTCCAACTGTGTGTCTCCTGCCACCTACAGCGTACATGAAAGAGTTCTCTTGAGTCACTGCAAAACTCAAAATCCTATTTTCTGAGTAGAAGAGAAAGTGCATATATTCTTTCGTAAAGAGTTATTGCAGAGAATGAAACTTGATCACCACACTACCCTTCCATACCCAGCACTGTCACATGCATTATCCCACTTGATTGAGGCTCTAGTTAAGCAATTTGCACACAGCTGGGTAGTGGGTATGCTGGATTTAAACTCAGCCCTGTTTGTTCTAAGTTTAGGTTTATCCTGTGCTTTTTTTATCCTCTCAAGTAAGCTCTTAAGACCTATGGCAACCTGTATTGTTCTGTATTAGGGTTTGTTTTCTTTTCATCTCATCATTTGGTAGCTTTGTGCATTAAAAAGAATCCTGTTTCTACTTATTTTGTCAAAATTCTTCATATGCTTGTCTTAAGCTTTGCCTCCATTAAGGCCTTTCCTCTTCAGGAATAAATGTTTTACAACAGGGCTTCTCAAACTTTATCCTGCCCAAAGATCA